TTTAGGTTTGCCTCAAGGCCAGGCAGGTCGGGAATTTGTCAGCTGAAGCCAATTGCCTTGGGAGAAATTCCTATCTTTAAATTCATTCTCCTGCCTGTCTAGAAACTCTGAGTACTGATGGAGATTGCTTTGGATCCAAGAGTGCCTGCCCTTTTTCAGGCTGATGCAGGCCTGGAATTTACCAGCCTCCAATTCTAAGTATCTTGGGTTTCTTGAGGTCTTGCCAGAGGATGCCAGAATCTCCTAGAGACAGCCTGGGAAATAGATTCTCTGCAAGAAATCCTTGGAATACTTTTAATTTTTCATGAGTTGTAGCAGTTCAAAAATATTCAGGGCTGGGGCTGTAGCTCAGTAGCAGAGTGCTTGCCTAGCATGTGAGGCACTGAGTTCAATCCTCAGCACCACATAAAAAAATAAATAAAATAAAGGCATGCTGTTCATCTATAATTATAAAATAATATATTTTTTTAAAAAAATGTGTTTAGTCTAGACTGGTTGTAGTACACCTGTAAATTGTGGGCATTGCTATAGGATAAATGGCTTTTAAACGGAATTCAAATATGAATGCTTCCAGGGAGAATTTGGTTTTTAATATTTAAGTAAACATGAAAATTACCATAATCTCTGTTCTGATTTTTAAATCTCATCAGATTAGCTTTCAAATTTTATCTGTTTGACATAGAAATATGCAAGGATAGAGCCAAAGTAATATGATGGGGAAATTGTTGCAATGTGTTTATGAGCCCAGTTGTGAAAGTGTTCAGCAGACCTGGGAAGCAACCAAAATGAAATACTTGGGGTAGGCATAGAGCTGGGTCCAGAATGAACTTTGAAAGAGAGTGGGGGAAAAAAAGCAAAAACTCAAAATCCATCTGTTAGGATGGGATTTCTTGATCCTTTGGGCTAGCCAAATTTAGTAATGACTTTCATTTGCAGAACTTAAAAGCATAATTCTCATCGGGTGGCGTTTTAGGCATGCTATTAATATTTGCTAAAATGCAATTCTGTTGTTATTCAACTGCTTAAAATCTTTCAGGGAGTTCCATTCACCTCCCCACAGCATAAAAGGCCTTTTTTTTCTTGCTACACTCCAACACCCTCGCTGGAGCCATTAGAACCATTAGCCATGGAATGGAGCAYCTTGATAGTGTGATAAACCTTTTTGTGCTTTTCAGCAGTTTCTTAGGTTTGTAGCATGAATGTACCTGGGAACCATTGAGTTTACCAGCCAGAAAGTCTATGGATATTTCAACTGAACTTGTGTTTTTGAAGAATCCAAGGCCTAGAGAGAAATAGTTTTGTATTCAAGGTTACTGAGACCTCTAAATAAAACATTTGATGGTGTTGGTGACATAGCTTGGCTAGTAATAGCTTCTACTTACTGACTGCTCACCTATGTCTTCTGTGTCAGGAATTATAGAGAGTACCTACATATATATTTCAATCAATTYTTGCAGTAATATTCATTGTAAAATGGGGAATTAGGTTCAAAGAAGGTAAGCTGTGTCTAAGATTTTGAATCAGTTTTATTTCTCCTTCATTGAGCAGACCCTGGTTTTCTTTCATTGACTTGATACTTTTTGAAAAGTTACTTTATAGATCAGTGACTTGGCCAGTAGAGTATGACAATAAAGTCTTTGTGCTTATTTCTAGGAGATGTTTCATGTAGTAATACCACTTTGAAAAGTGCTTTCACCTCCAGGTTTTCTCTGTCATCTTTCCTCTCAGGCTTCTGGATTACTTGATGCTCTGTGCAGAACCCTCTGCCTGGCCTACCAGCCCTTTCAGTGCTGTACTTAGTTAATATCCAGGCAGCTCAGGGGCTCCCTCTACTGGTAGTTAACCCATGTCTTTGTTACTTTATTGAAGTAACACACTGAACAAATACAAGTGGTTTAAGAATAAAGGTGTAACCAGAGTGGTCTTTGTGGTGAAAGGGATGGTAAGATTTATGTTCCAATCCTGAATCACAAGGTGGTAATCAATGAGTACCAGGAAAAGAGAACAAAGAAAATTCCATTGTTGTTAGAGGCTGGATAGTTTAATTACTGGAAGAGCTGACATTTATCTGGATTTGAAAGGACACTGAGATTTGGCTTTTGGAGATCCAGGAATGGAGCAGAAAGAGGGTGATCATGCATGCTGGAGGGAACAGAGCTCACAGAGGCATGCTGGGAGAGTGAGGGAAAAGGATTCAGAGGAAACTAAATCTAAAGTGAAGTCAGAAAAACATCAGTCTGTTCACCACCTGCACTGCAGCCATCCTGGGCTGAACCTCTTCTGGAGGGTTGTGCTAGCAGCACCCTGATTCTTTCCCTGCCTTCCCTCAGTCTATTCCAAACCCAACCACTGTAGCAGTGACCTTCGGAGACAATCTTCTGTTGATTTGGTGTCATGGAGATTATCTGTGCGTTAGAGCTGAGAAATAGGACCTTTTATGGAACCTTGTAGCCACCTTTGTCTAATGATTAACTAGAATGAAATTGCTGTTGACTTTTTAGACCACTGACTGCTTAGAGGTGTGTGTGGTGCATTTGAGGTTTAAGGCAAGGAGCAGGGGACTGTGGACTGCATATTGGTCAGGCTGGCTGAGATGGGTTCCCTGACTCACCATGAACAAGGTTTGTAATTCTCCACTTGGTTAAGGTTGCATACATTCTCCGGTAGACTCTAAGGAATGTTTGGTGTAATTTGTCACATATTCCTTATCCTTCAGTAATTTTGAGTCTTGATATATACAGTGATATAAATATTTAAACAAAAGATGTAGCTACAGTTCTTCTATAATTGACTTCCTCTTTGGATTTTTATTTGCTTTATTTTCAAATTGTTGGTATAAAAATATAAAACATTACAGTTTGGAGGAGAAACAGGTTTTGAGATGAGAGGACATTGATTTTAGTTTTAGCTTTATGCTGCTGGCAATATAAGTAGGCACAGGATTTAAATTTTATTTCCCCATTTTGTTTTCTGTTAAGTGAATGTTCTAGTTCTTTTATTTGTAAGGTCGTTGCCAGAAACAAATGTGGTTTTGTACCTGCATGTGCTGTATCCAAAGCTCTCTGTGATTGCTGACTGCCGCTTTGTATAGTTTCTAGTCAGATGTGTTAGGAGTCCAGTAATGTCTAGAGACACTTCAGGGATTTGTGGAGACTTCGTTGGTGTCTTTGGCCCTGCTTTAATTTTAGCGGCTGCTGCTGCCTGTGCTTTTTTATTTTAGTTGCAAACATGTCTTTGCTCTCTTCTAGTGTCTCCCACCCTCGAATGTGCTGGAGGCCAAGGATATACAACCTGCCTCCCCTTGTCCCTTCACTCTGCCCCCACCTTTCTTCTGTCACACACTTATCTGTGTGCTTGTGGGCCACCTCATTGGCGCCGACTTGCATTTAGGAGCTCATCCATGGAGGAGCTCCTTTTTAGTACAGATTTCATTTAGTTTAACATTTATTCAGTGCCTTGGTTGGCCTGGGTATCTAAAATTCTGGGGAAGAAGTTCTTGCCCTGGCAGAGGACAGAAACCTGTGGTTAACCTGTGTCAGGATGCATTTTGTGACAGAAGTACACATACGCTGCTGTTGGTACTAGTGGGGAAGGTGGCAGTGTTGGGTGTGAGCTGTTCGGATGTGCTTCTCCTCCTCCCACGCCTTCCTGTATTCTCTAATCATTCTTCTATCTATGGGAGTGGAACTAGCCAGGCAGTAAGTAATTGTGTACCATGGACTTTGTAGAGAGTCTGTGTAAAGAGGCCTGGTATCTGATTTTCAGTTTGGAAGTTGAAGTCACCACACCTGAACAGAAGAGCATAAATAGCATTGTAATTATCATGAATTACTGGCCAGGTTTGTTTTGCAGGCAGGGGAGCAGTTATGGGATCCATACTACGAGTTGAGTCTCGGGGGCCAGCCTTGGCCCTTATCTGCAGCCTATTGCCCAGCCAATCCTGTTCATCTCACCCCAGCCCCAACTAGGATTTTTTGTGTCTTACAAAATAGGACTGGTATTCACAGGGCACCCACTACGTGGCATGCACCMCCCTAGCGGGTAGGAAAAGAGGGGGCCAAATGCCCTATTCCCCAGGAACTCCTCTTACTGAGGAGGACACATATACTTGAGTCATGGAATAGACAACTCCAGAGAGACCAGGAATGAGGACCAGAGGAGGCTGAGGCCTGAAAGGTTAAGGGACTCTGTCCAGGCACTTTAGCAGTTTGTTCCTTCTGTGAAACCCCAGTGACTCCATTCCCCTCTCTGCCCCAAAAGGCTCTTGCTACAAGGTCTCCTCCCTCCTCCCTGCTGTCTGCCTTCCTTTGATCCAGCCCTGGGGATAGAGCAGTGTAATGAAAGGTCACCCTTACCCTCAGGAACTCATGCCCTGTACATTCAGTCATAAATAAGTAAATTTGGTAGATAGCTCACTTGGGGAAGTGCTGGGGCTGGACTGTGGCTTTCAGCAGGGCTCTCAGGAATTCAGGCTCCTCTGAGCAGGTGCCTTTGGAGGACAGAGCTGAAAGGATTTGGGCTGGATGAAACCCACATGGCTCAAGTGAAGAGAAGAGGAGACATGACCAGGAGCATCACAGGTCAAATTAGACTGCTCTAGAAGTTTCTGGCCTTGATGCAGGGTCAGGGCTTGTGAGTTTCCAGTGTAGATTCATTTGCTGAGACTGAAGGGACCTGGTGCCCAATGCTTGTTGCAAGATTGCTATTGTGACATGGTAGCAGGAGGCATCCTGTGTGACCACAGCACAAATATGAAAGGCAGTGACTAGAGTCAGGACACCAGACTCCTCTGCCCCATAGTCTCAGACATCACTGGAGAAAACCACTCTGCTCCTCGGTCCTGTGCTCCTCAGTTACCCTCAAAACACTTGGGATGATTTGCCGGTGATGTCCCTGATGTGGACCTGTCTAGTGTGCTAGACTGGTACAGCCAGGTCTCTGCTTTGAGAGAGAAGTCTTGGCAGAAAAGCCTGCAAGTAAGTCTTCTTTTTCTCTTTCAGACGGCCTTCTTGAGGATACCAGCCCCAAGGACTCATATCTCATCCCAAGAAACATCATGGCCGAGCCAGACTACATAGAAGATGACAATCCAGAACTCATTAAGCCCCAGAAATTGATCAATCCTGTCAAAACATCCCGGAACCATCAAGATCTTCACAGAGAACTCCTTATGAATCAAAAAAGGTACTGTAGTGTCTGGAGCATGGCTTCTGTACAGGGATTTTAATAACCAGATTTATCAGTGATGGTTTTTACAAAGGCTTTGAAAGTTTTTATTTCTTGACAATATTTAAGGCTTCCCTGTTCTTTCTCCACCTTCAAGCCAGGTCATCCCTCCCTGAAGTGACRCCCCTGCTGCAGCTCAGTTTTTGTTCCACAATTCTTAAATTTGGGTGCAAGGGGCTGGGGCAAAGACATAAGGGAGGGAACCAAGTAAAAGAGAAATATGTTATTTCTTAAATTTGAAATCTCTGAATTTCCCCCTTGCTTTGGGAGGAAATATTAGAATCAAATGTAAATCCTTCCTGCATTAGCAATTGGTAAGTGGCAGGGAGGAGTCTCTAGAGCCTTATTAGTGAATAGATTAGAGTATTTCTTCTTTATGTTTTTGTTTGTTTTTAAGTTGTATTTTAAATAATTATCAATATTTTTACTTTTAGAAGGGAACAGAATATATATGTTTATATTTTTACTATGTTTATCTCTACAGACTGCCTTAAATTCTATTTTTATTTCCATCCCTATTGTTACATCCTGAGAAATTTAAAAATTTTAAAAGTATATTATATTTTTAAATCTTAAATTTAAAAAAAAAAAGCAAAACACAAGGGTTCGGAGCATTTTCATGGCAGTTCTTCCAAGTTCACTCCTGCCTACCAGAACTAATGACTCCTGTTCCTGGATGTCTTTCTAGATATCTTTCTCCTCCTGGATTATGGGATTGTGACTCAGTCTTTTTTGTCTCCGGCGTGTGCTATGGAGCTATTAGATTAAAGTTTATTAAATTGAAAACAAGCTTGATCATTTTTAGTAAGTGCTTACCTTCTGCCTGTCTTTGCTGCACAATCAAAATGGAAAATATGAATTTAGTACTCTCATGCCCAGAGCAAACATGACTAAATACATTTCTAAATAAACCACAGAATTTGGAAGCAGGCCTTCCTGGGAAATTTTGTCTGTATTTTATTGGAAGATCATCAGGTTAGTGGGCTTCAAAACAGAGTAGCATTTGTCATCTACTGGTTTTCTGATTGTCTACCTCTAGGGTTTCCTTCCCTTATCTGTAAAATGAGGGTAGAGCTTAGTTGAACTCTTAAGAAATATTTTAGCTCAAATTATTTTGTTTTATTTTCATTGCAAGTCTATAAAAAGGTCCCAAGTCAGAATAAAGGAAAAATAAGCCTAATTTTGTAAAATAGATCTTCTCTGGATTATAGTCTGCAAATTACTCTGCAAAAATATAATTAGTGGGGCTGGGGTTGTGGCTCAGTGGTACAGTGCTTGCCTAGCATGTGTAATGCCCTGGGTTCAATTCTCAGCAGCACAAAAAAATTAAAGGAATAAAATAAAAGCTATAAAAATATATAATTAGTAGCGTGATACACATCACTGCAGAACATATGGATTTAAGCAATTGCGTCTTTCTAAATTTTCTAGAAAATGGACCTCCTTTCTGTCTATTTTGACCCATTCTTTCTTTCCCTGTTTACATAGCTGACTCTTTAGCAGGCCCAGTGCAACTAATTTGGAATAATGATGACTTTTGCTGAAGCACTGAGGCGTAGCGAGGACATTTGAGATCAGAGATCATGAATCCTGAGGGTTCACTATTTAACTTGATGTACCTTATGATCTTGACCAAGAAACCCCTGTTGATATATTTTTTGTCATCTATAAAGTAGGGAATAATAGTAATATATTTCTTTAAAAATTAAATAGTAGCATGTATTACAATACCTATTAAAATACATGACATATAAGTGGTCAGCTAGTCCCATCCATCTTCTCCCCATGTGGCATGCTGGGAAATTTGTAATTCTTTTCCTTCTTTTCTTTGAAAGATTCCAATCTGATGAAATGTATTTAAGAAAAAAAAGGCATATTTCAAAGTCAAAAAAGATGAATATATCTCATATGTTGAAAATATAAACAGATTTTTAAAGATAAAATCTTTGTTTAGTAGAGTCTTTTTTAGAACCATAGTCAGTTTTAGGGTGAAAACTTCTCAAGCTCAGAAGAAAACTTTCCTTTTATTTTTCTTCCATATCATGAACCCTTTGGAGACTGTGGGGTTTTTATTTCTATTTTAGTACCAAATAATAGAAAGCATCATATCAATAATTACTACCAGACTTGATTACTGGTTTGTACTATAATGAAAACCTGTTTCTTTTCTACAATTTATAAAGGGCCTTTCTTTATTTTATCTTACCCAGTGATCTTTCCAGTAAACCAGCAGGTTACCTTGTGATTGTCCCACTTTGACATGTTAGAGAGAATTGTTTCTTGTTGAGGAATCTCTCAAGATCATGCAATAGATTTTTAGAATAAAAAAGGATAGAAATAAGCATGGAATTTAGGACAGTTTCTAGAGATAAGTATAGTAATTATATAAACTAGAGAAAGGGTTGAATAAATGAAAAGATGGGAGAATGAAATCAGCAAAAAAACAAACTTTACCTGGAACATTGACCTTTGCTCCCATAACTACAAATTTGGCTCAGAGCTCTGCAACAGTTAGTTCAATTTTTTTTCCAATTTACTTTTAGAGATTATAAGATAAAAACAGTTACTGATTAGGAGAACAAGTATTCAGAGATCTTCTAGCTCTGAAAATGTGCTTCTCTATTTTATCATCTTTTTAGATTTGGCTCAGATTCCAGTAGCAGTCTTTAAATTTCCACCTGGTCACAGTCTGCTTCTAGGTCTGATAGTTATGACCCTTTGTCAGGTTCTTGGGTTCCATAGGCCTTTATCAGTAGTACAAAAGGGCAGTTTCCAGAAGGCATTATAAAGCATTGTATTTTTAGTAGTTGAAATGTCAGTATTGGAAACATCTTTTAAAAAAATAAGATGACACAATGGAATATTATTCAGTGTTAAAAGAGAATAAAATCATGGCATTTGCAGGTAAATGGATGACATTGGAGAAGATAATGCTAAGTGAAGTTAGCCAATCCCAAAAAATAAATGCCAAATGTTTTCTCTGATATAAGGAGGCCCATTCATAATGGGATGGAGTGGGGAGCATGGGAGGAAAAGATGAACTCTAGATAGGGCAAAGGGAAGGGAGAGGCAGGGAGGTGATGTGGGAGTAGGAAATGCAGTGGAATGAGATGGACTTCATTACCCTAAGTACACGTATGAAGACACAAATGGTGTGACTATACATTGTATACAACCAGAGACATGAAAAATTGTGCTCTATATGTGTAATATGAATTGAATTGCATTCTGCTGTCATATTATAACAAATTAGACTAATTTTAAGAAAAGAAAAAAAATAAGATGATTTCTAACAAATTAAGAGATTCAGTTTTCTATAAAGAATAATTTTTGGACAAATAAACCAGTTAAGTTGAACATGTCTCTAATGGTTCTTTGTCTTGTACATTTCTAAGTGAGTGGTTTCTAGCTCCCTGAGTTTTCAGCTGAACTTTCGAAATGCTTTACCAGACAAATAGTTTCTCAATGAATACTTTGCTGCTGTACAGCATGGAAAAAGATAGGGGAGGTTGTAGTGACAACAGAGAGAAGTATTTATACTTGAACCCATGCAGGTGAAAATGGCTAAGCCAAGAATGTAGATGAGGCAGGTCAAACTAGACAATTCCAAGATTCACAATCACACTGAAATCCAAATGCAGCCATCCCTTTCACCAAAAAAAAAAAACAATTAGACCAGGAGAGGTTTGGCTTAGGGGGCAGGCACGTGTGCTCTCTGATGGTTTGCTCCCCAGCTTCCTGCTCTGGCTGGTGATGTGTTCCTAGTGAGGAGTTGACTTCATTCATAGCTTGCAAGCATGCTTGGGTTGAGATGAAGATGCAGTGCATATGGGCTTTTCCAGTTTGCCTCTGAATATTTAGTGTGTTTTGCTGATGTGAAGAAGAGTGAGGAAGAGAACGCTGTGTTTGTACAGGTGTGGAAAGTGTGGGGGCACACAGACCAAACAGTAACAATTATATCTGGTTGCAGGAATGGGTAGGGCTTGATGGAGCAGGCACTACCTCATATACTTCTCAGGGACACCACTGCGTAGAATACAGTACAGATGGTCCTCCTGTGATTTGTTTAATGGGGCAAGTTTGGGGTGTGCTTTCACTTTTTTTTTTTTTTTAATGGATCTGGATATACTGCCTGACTTTTTTTGGCAAAAATTCAAAGAGTACCTATTAAGTTCACAATTTTTAAACTAGGCTTTGCCCACTGTGATAGCTCCATGACCAGGAAGCAGACTTGAGAATTACTTGATCTTGGGTAGTATGAAGCCACCAGCCCTTGACTCCCTGTCAGTCATGAAGGGATTGAAAGTACTTGTTATGTGTATGTCAGAATTGATTGAAGAGAATCAAATGTTCTTATGCAAGGGGTAATATTGTTATTTACAAAATTTGGAGATGCTCATTTCTGCCCCTCCACAATCTCTGCATTCTGATCCACTTAGAGAAGCACACAGGCAGAGCTTAACGTCTCCCATTTGGCACAGAAATTTAAGTGACCCACTATGATTAAATATTAACTGAAGGTCTGTGACTTCTTGAGTGTTACAAGTGCAGAATTTTTATCACATGAGCACCACTTTCCTGAATTATCTGTTACTGAGTATTTTATCTTATTGTCACCATCATGTAAAATCTTTGAGCAGAAAATGAATACTGTAGAATAGTTAAACCCATTTATAAGTTGCAATGAAATATCAGCTTAAAGTATCATATATCAAAGTTCTTTCAGTAAGTTTTGCAGAAGAATGTCTTCTAACAATAATTTAAGTGAATTTTGCTGGTGGAATACAGTGAAAGAAAAATCTTTGAAATCTAAATTATTCAGATAAGATAACTAAATTCTTAATCCTAAAATTTAATTCTCTTAATTCTATCTATAGTGTCAAATCAAGACTTTCTATTAGTCATGAAACTAAGAAGCTTCTTAGTCTTTTTTCAGATTATTTTAAGAAAGTTTTTTTTAGTGATTAATGACTCTTCTAACTGAACAGCAAGAGTGCTCAAAAGCAACCTTTAAWGTGCCGATTAAACATTTGATTTCTAGAATATTCCGTCTGTATTTTCATACCTCTATTCAGTCTTGATAACTATGAGGCAAACTGTAATTAAATCAGAAACATGACTCCTCCTTGTTTCTTTGGAAATTTGATCAAATTAATTTTTTTAATTAAAAGTTCTGCTAATATTTGAAATTTGAGAAAGTAGGACATATATATTATTTTGTCTTTTTGTCTTTATCATCAAAGACAGATCATACTGATCTTTACTCTGTAAACAACTACATTGAAAATTTTTATTGAGATTTTTAAAAAATGAAGTAGGAAAGATGCCAGAATTTTTTAATTTCTAAATTACTGAGGAAGTATAGTATTGAAGATTCATTTATAGGTGTGATTGAAAGCAGCTAAGAAAGATACGTTCTTGATTTTCTTATAACTAGAACCTCATTCTGGGAACTCTTGATTTACCAGTTGTTCAACTGACTCCTATGTAAGTTGATTGGAGTAGTTCAAAGAATGACTGCCTGGACTGATGTCCCGTCCTCCARATCAGTAGTGAGCAGCAGGGGCAGGCAGTGGTGGGCAGGTGTAGCACTTCTGTGATCCCAGGCTGAGTCTATAGTCAGCCCAGTGTGAACCGCTCTTGAGTCAAGTGTATATACAGCTGTGCAGCATGAGTGTGGACATCAGCCATTATTGACCCTGTATGGTCTGAAATCAACAGTGTTTCCTGTTCTATGGTTTATTTTGTTTTTATTTTAAATGACCTTAATAAATTTTAATATCAAGTTGAGGTTGCTGATGAGCTAGTAGAGTCAGGCCAAAGTAAATAACTAGGGGAGACAAAAAGGAAGAGATAAGTGATCTTATCCGGCATCCTGGAAAGCCCGGCTGGAGAAAATCCCAAGGAAATGGCAAAGCACATTATTATAGTCAGCTACTTCATCACTGTGACTAAAAGACCCAGCCAGAACAAATATAGAGGAGGAAAGGTTTATTCAGAGGCTCACCATCTCAGAGGTCTCTGTCCATAGTGGCTGGCTGCATTCCTCAGGGCTCAAGGTAAGGCAGGACATCATCATGTCAGAAGAGTGTGACAAAGAGAAGAAGCTCACATTATGATCAGGCAGCAGAGAGAGACTCCATTCACCAGATACAAAATATATACCCCAACACTATTCCCACCCCCAGCCTTCAGTTACCACTCAATCCCTGTCAATCCCTGTTGGGGAATTAATTCCCTGATTGGGTTAAGGCTATCTCTCACAACCCAATCATTTCTTTTCTGAATCTTCTTGCACTGTCTCACACGTGAGTTTTGGGGGACACCTCACATCCAAACTATAACAGACCTTGAGAAAAAGTGACTCTAAGCTGACATCAAACATAGATAGGAGTCCTACCTGAGAAAGTGTCAGTGGGTCTTTCCTTTGACTTGTCTCAAACATTTCAGATGGATTGTTGCTAGTGAATAGCCTGTTTTGGTTTTATTTTCCTCCATTTAAAGAAATGGCCACCTAATTTATCTCTCAGAAGAGTAGAGTTTCCTTGAAGCCTGAATTTCATGTATTATAAATAAACCATGTATCTGAGGTGGTCTAGGTGGAAAGAACAGTAGACTGACAGTTAGGAGATGATTGATTGCTCCGCCTGGCCATGACCCTTGGAAATGATATAATCTTGGTCACAGAGACCGTTTCTTTTTTGGATCTGAAAATGGAGAATAGGAAGAGGTTTCTAGGGTAGGAAAAAGTTTTGTGATAACCTGTCTCTGGACTGCATTAATGCATGAGGTCAGATACTATGCCTTGGGAATCCTCCTCCAGTGGAGCCTCCTCGAGTCTTGGGCATTTATCTCTCTGCGGTGGGTACATATCATACCCATTGCATGAAGGTATTTCCCCACCGGATTATCCCCTTCGCCATCACCCTGTTTTGTGTAGTCTAATTCTTGCACATAGTGGGTTCTCAATACATTTTTATTGAATAAGGATTTTACAAATTCTTTGGAAGATGTTCTTCTTTCTTTGATGATGGTGAGTTTCTGAGCACTCCCATTAACTGCTTAGCTTAGGAGTAGGTATCAGAGGTGTGCTGATTCTACAGACCTCTTTTTCTGTGGCTGATACCTTCAATTACATTTTTATTCATGGTTAACATTTCTCATTTTCATTAATGCTTTTTTTTTCAGGGGTCTTGCCCCTCAGAATAAACCAGAATTGCAGAAGGTGATGGAAAAGAGAAAACGAGACCAAGTAATCAAGCAGAAGGAAGAAGAAGCACAAAAGAAGAAATCTGACCTGGAAATAGAACTTTTAAAACGGCAGCAGAAGTTGGAGCAGGTAAGAGTGACTGGGGGAAAGTATTCTTTCTCATTTCTGAGAAATAAAGATGTTGGAGCAAGCAGAATCTCCCAGACATATCAGATATAAACATTGTTGCCTTGAAAGAAAAGAAACAAAATGTCAGCAGATGGCATATATTATACTCCAGGCAGAGGCAGGAATTCTATTGAAGACCTAAAAGAAATGCTCAAGGCAAAGGCAAATCAGAGAAATATCGCTGAATTCACAGAGTACAGAGTACTGGAGTAATTTATGCAGCTCAGCCTCACTTGGACTCCAGGGCAACTGTGTGTTCTTCTCAGGATTTTGTTTTCTTGGCTTTGACTTTTTCATTCCTGTCTTCTCATGCTGTCGTTGGTAGTAACAACCAGTTGGGTGCTGCCTCTGCAGAATCAGTCCTTCCTCCCTCTTTCCCTCCCTTGCTTTTCTTCTTTCTTTCTATTGGGAGACCAAGAGAGAATTTCTTCCATTGGAATGAGAGGAGTGCCTTAAAGCCTCTCAGTTTGTAAATAATTTTCCTGGTTTTGAATTTCATTTAGCTTGAACTGGAGAAGCAGAAATTGCAAGAAGAGCAAGAAAATGCCCCGGAGTTTGTGAAGGTGAAAGGCAATCTCAGGAGAACAGGCCAAGAGGTGGCCCAAGCCCAGGAGTCCTAGGCGGAGGCTGTCTGGAGACCTGGTGTGTCCTGCCATCACCGCAAGAGCTGTGTCTAGGTGCCTCCTCTGCATTTGTCTCAGGGCCAGAGCCCCTGGAGAGAATTCCAGCCAGCCAAGAATTTTGACTATGACAAGGATTTGATTTGATTTTACTACAGTCTGGATGGATAAATTATCTATGAAAATTGTAGTTCCCATTCGCCAAATGAAGGACATTGACCAGCACGTAAGTTGGAATAATGGACCTGTGTTCAGAGACCTAAAGCAAAAAAAAAAGGAAGAGGACCCTGGAAAAAAATATTGAGAGCTGCACTACTTGGTTTTTCTTCCAATCTGAGTTCAGTGGAGCAAATATTATTTTCTTTGAAGAGCTAAAGAAAATGTGTTTATTTCTTCTTTTGGTTATCTACAAGATAATTTAGATTACATAGAAGTGCATTTAATCAGTTACATCCAATATTTGTAAATTCTACTTTGAGAATTCAAAATTTTCTTGTTTAATTTATACTTTCACCCATGTTAGAATTAACAGTGGAGAATGTTAATGTTGAGCACAGCTATTACCATTGTTGGCATCAAAATTCAGAAATAGATTAAGAAGGTATAAAAACATGTAAAGATTCATGTTGGTCTGTTTTAATTTCTTTCAGTCCTATACTTTGTGGAGGCATCCACTTCCCAGAAGGTATCTCATGTAAATTCATTTATATTGCTTTGATAACCAGCATGTTTTCAGTTCAGTTTTATTTTTAAATTTCTTGCTGAGATACTTCTTTCAGGAAAAGAAAAAAATCCTCGTTCCTTTGGAAAACAGAAATAGTCTGTATAGCCCAGCTTTAGTGTCAAAAGTAAAGAGTACAAAAACCTTAATTTCTCTTGAGCACAGTGCAGGGAAAGTTCCCATTAGGAGCTGGATGGTAAGGTCTTCTTTAGGTATTTTAATGTGAAACAAGTATAARTTGATCTCAAGGAGGCTTTTGGTTTGTACATTTTGAATATTAGTAGAATCCAAGCTTTGAAAACTTTTTGATTAATGATTGTGTATTTCTTTACTCTTTTTTTTTCTTATGAAGGAAAACTTTTACCACTCTCTCAGTGTGATGCTGTTGGTAAGGATAATGTTGATGACTACTGTATTGCATCTCTCAGGAGAAACTGAGGTGCAGGGAGAAGAGACTCAGTTTCCTTATGTTAACTAGCATGCTATTCAAAGACATCCAAGTTGCAAATAATAGCAAATTCTCATTAAAAGTTAATTTTATACTGCTGACATGGAAGAATTCTTGTGGATTTAGTATGTTCTTCGTAGAGATGATTCAGCCTTTCTACATCAGAGGCTTTTATACTTCCTTTACAACTCATAGAAAGTTGGATTCAGAGCTTTGGAATCCTTAACTAGCAAGTAGACATTAGCTTTCTATGGGAGATGCTTTAGTTTTAGTAATCAACAGGCCCACATTCAATCCCAATGTGAACAAAATAAGATTAAATAGATGATAATATACTGCTAGTTAGAGAAATATATTAGCTGTTTATACCTGAAATGGATTATTTGTCTCATCAGCAAATATTATTTAAATAAGACATGCTGAGGTTGCTCTAAAATAGTTTGCTGTTGAAGATTAGAATGGTGACAGTTTTCTTATCATTATTCCCTTTGAGAGAAGAAAGTGAAGTAAGTGATCATCTTGAAAGAACATTSCTTATTGCACATTAATTAGAGTTCTTCCTCTGTCTTTGTGGACTTAACGGTGTGATCTGTAAAGTGAAGATTCTGGACTGGCTCCTATCTTTATCTAATAGGATGTTTGATCTTGAAATCTATTCCTTGAAGCAGTTTTGCCACTTGACAAAAATCTCAAGGGCTGGAAGGACCAATTCTGTTCCTAGAACTTCCTTAGAATTCATTCAACACTGGGAAAAAGTTAATTAAAAAAGCATTTCCCTTCTAATTGCACTAAGATCTGCAGAATTGATTGTAGCTATACTACAAGTTCTGGCCTAAAGAGGACTTGTAAATGGTGTAGAGTGATCGGTGTGGCTCAGTAGCAAAGTGTATAGGAAAGGAAGCTTTGACATCATCTGGTTAGCTGGGCCTACAAGCTGCGTTTAAAAGGTGGTCAGTCTCTCCTGTACCTAGCACTATAAACTGAGGACTCATGAACATCTGAGCAGTTCTGTGCTTGGAGCCACTATTTGACAAAAATGGCTCCATTTTTCCATTCCATGGTTTTCTTAAAATAGTTCAGTGTTTTATAGTCTCTTAATAGTAAAGTAGTGTTGCTTTCTAAGCTATAACAGCTGACTTTATTCTTCTACTCTGAAAAATCTTGCCTTGTTTGAGTGTATATAATATATATAAAGGGAGCCTTAATGGATTTGTTTTCATAATTTAATATTTTTTGTATTTGCTCTTGTATAATTGTTTTTAATGGAAAGTATTACAGAATTGAGGGTGGAATTCTTAGAACCAAAGTTATTCTTAATAAAAATCACCACATGCTTGGACCATGCAGCTGTGTTTGTCTGATCTGTTTAAGGTGAATGTCCAGAACCTGCTGCAGCTATGTTCAATTCAGAGATCAGAAGGTAGTTCCAGGGTCTCCCTTGGTGACCACAGTCTTTGACAGCCTTCCCTGCAAATGTCCTATCATCTGCATTTATACAAGCTGGAATTTATATGTMAAATAAGTTCATGCTAAGATATTAATAGCTCTCTATATACCCTTTACAGAGAACATATGGCACCTAGAGCAGCAGGTGCCAGTCCTGCAGGGAAAGATTGAGCATTTTAGGTAGCTGACATGACCAATGGAGAAGCATTTTGGGAAGGACCAGTTTTTAGTGCTTGTGAGCTAGTACAATTGTGATTCTGAAAATTTTTTTTCTTACACAGATTAATGTTTTCATCAGAGAAGTTATTTTGGAAAATTATTCTCATGATTGCATTATCCTCTTGTTTAAAAATAGTTTGGAGGCTCAGGTCCCTTTATTTGATAATTATGCTTTTATGCTTTTATTTTTCAACCATAAATTAATTATTCAAGTGTTCAGTTACCCAACTTCTAGTGTCTCTGTACTTATTTTACATTTGTTTGTTTGTTTGGTTTCTTACTTAGCAGAGTAGATCTGCTATCTCTAAGGTATATCATGAGCCCTAAAAACCCATGCAAAAGATGGATTCCAGAAATGATTTGTACAGTAGCTGCAAGGTTTTCCATGGTGACAGTTTTGAAGCCATTTTTCTGGACTAATGTATGTGTGTTTTACAATAGTAATATATTTGAAAGAAGACAGACCAATTAAAATGTTAAGTGAGTTTTAACATATTACATGCTGTAGTATATCTAAAAGAAGCATTAAAACATTAGTCTTACATTTATTTTAAGAAATGAACTTATTTTATTTCCAGGTCTCAGAGTAAATAAAAGCTTTATGGGCTAGCCTTTTAAATCATAATTTCTATTTTCTTTTTTCCACCTGAGCAAATGTAGTCTGATTATCAACTGGAGGTGTTTTGAGGGTCTCCCTATTTGCCCCTTGATTTTCTGAAATGATAGTAATTCCCAGTGAAAGTAGTAAAAAGGGCTCTTAGTTTTTTATTGAAGATATGTTCATTGTTCCTGGGGTTTGCTGCACCCAGGCTCCCAATATATAAATGCATTGATATTTATTTTTATCTGTATTTATTGAATCATGAGCAATACCCTTAATGCCAACCAAGTTCTTCTCCCTCTCCCTCTTTCCATATTTATAGCTCCTTTCTCCAGCAGTGAAAACCTGGTTGCCAGCCTCCTCCTCATAGCTAATGATTTCCTTAGTCCTCCTGTGTGTGACTTTCCTCAGCCACCTTGCTCACTCTGGTCCTGCCTACTGGTTTTTCAACTGAATTAAGGAAAAAGAATGGAAACAACAATTTTTCTTGAGCTTTTAAACATCTGTTATAAATTTAGTTAACTGAGTTGTCTCAAACAAACTCAACTACAACTACAGGTTTAGTCTGGGTGATTGGGACCTTTCAAACTCCTTAAACACAGTATACAACCCATGCTTAAATGCAATTAGCACATTTTAAAAATGACTTATGTAAACCTGTTTCTAAAGCCAAGTCTATGTCAATTATTTTTGCATATTAAAAATGACTTTTATGCTACTATGGCCATATTTACTTTCATGTCTTCCTAGGGACACAGTTAAACACAACTTCCTGGGCTTCCTTTCTAAAGGGAAAGGGATGTCTGCTTAGACCACATGAAGGAGAAAGATCTGGGTTGTTGACTGTTTCTTACTTAGACCTGGATCCTGGCTGGACAGTCCAAGTTCATTGAACCATAAGTCAAGGCCTTGGACCAAGTCTTTTATATAATTAGCTCTTACTTGCTTTGTTATGGGAATTCTACAACCTCCCCATTTATTTTACTTTAAATTTTCAAAACTTGGTGTTCTTCCCAGAAATGGTGTTTTCACTTAACATAACCAGTATTACCTACACATTGTCAGCCTTTATGATGGCCTTGTTTGTTACCGTTTTTGAGAACTTATGTATGACCTTATCGATGTTCCATATAATTAGTAGGATCACTTTGAGATTTTGTGTATGAAGAATCTGTGTGGAGAATTATTTTATTCAAGATATTTGGCTGTTTATTACCTTGGAYGTGCTGTTGGATTCTCTTCATCATTGTATATGATCTACTGGATTCCTTTTCTACTTAGTTATTATGTGTCTCTACTCTTGGTAATCAGTCGTCTTCTTGTACTATATATTTCTTTTTTATCTTGACTGTATTCTTTCCTGTATTCATAACTAGAAACAAGCACATTCTTCCACTTTAAAGAAAAGGTATATTTTTTCATAGAATTAACAAAATACACACACCTGTGAATATTCCCTTAAATTCCCTTTAATCATCCTCATTGTGAGTATCAGTACAAATCTGTGACTCTTTGTAGGCTCAACTTCTTACTTTAATTTCCCTCTCCTTTTGTAGATTTTCAGAATATTTCAATTTGGCCAGAGAAAGCACTTAAAGCTTATTATGTCTTTATTTTCTGTTTATTTATAAAACATTGCTTTTAACATTTCTAGCAACATCCTTGCTTTGTTACATAGGATGTTTTGAACCATCCTTATTTTTTCTGTCTCTGACATGTTACACAGGACCTGTGCCCATCAAGGAGTCCTGGTTTCTTCCCATGACAGACCTCAAAGTCTGTCATGAGGGGTGCACAAAAGAATTTTAATTGGACAAGTAGTGAAAGAATGAGAGAACATGAAATTGCCCTGGCTTTTTTCCTATTTTAAACCTTTGTTTTTCTGTCTTATTTTTCTTAGGGGAGGTATCATTGAACCAGAAGATTTTTCTTTACATTTACAAAGATTAGCCAAGATGTTCTCTTTGAAAATAAGAATTAGGAAAGGGGACCTGCTTGCCCAGATACCTAAATGCACTTTCCAAGTAGTAGTGACTTAACTGGCCCTATACTGGCCCAGAGTAGGCAAGTTGGTCAATGGAGCAGAGTTTATAGTCCCCCAAAAAACATTGATTTGCCCATTGAAATTACTATGATTGAGGTAAAATTTTACTTCAAATTAGGAAAGAATAAATTTAATAAAAAGTTTGGGGCAATTGGAACCATATATTCTTCTACTTAACACTATATTGAAGAATAATTCTCAAATTTATTAGTGTTCAACACAAAAATAACACTATGTACATATTCGAAGAAAATATAAAAGTACTTTTATAATCTTGGGATTATAATCCCAAATTTATAATGAAGAAAACTATGAAAATTTATACAAAAATAGAAAATGGGCCAGGTGTAATGGTGCACAACTGTGATCCCACCTATCAGCAGACCAAGGCAAGAGGATCATAAGTTCAAAGCCAGTCTCCACAACTTATAAAAAAAGGGCTGAGGATGCAGCTCAGTGGTAAAGCACACCTGGGTTCAATCCCCAGAACCTGAAAAAAAATTACATAACAGACTAAGATATATTTCATATATGTTAGCAAATGAATAATACCTGGATTACACACAGATTATCTGTTAATGTCAATAAATGAACAGAATTTGTGCACAGGAAGTTTATAAATGAAATAAAATGGTCCAGCGGCATATGAAGAGATGCTCAGTGTCACCAGCATCAGGAAAATGCAAATTAAAATAACAATGAGTAATTTTGTACAAATATTCACAAGGCAAAAAATAACACACAATTGTGTAGGGGTTTTGTTTAGTGTGCTACTAAAGATTGAACACAGGGGTGTTCTACCACTGAGCTACACAGACAAGGTCTGCCCAGGTTGGTCTCAAATTTGTGATCCTCCAGCCTTAGCCTCCCAAATAACTGGGATTATTTATAGGTATGCATCCCTGCTCCCAGAAATACATAGTTTGATAATAGCTATTAGTAGTGATATGAGATATGGGTATTATTTTCATATATATATGATATATATGTGTATATCATATATATATATATATTTATATCTTCAGCAAGAATACAAATTAGTAAAGCCAATTTTAAAGTGCAAATGTCTTAGTATCCCTTAAGATGGACATAATAAAAAAGATAGTCAAAAACAGGTATTGATGAGAGTGTGAAGACATTTAAGCCCTTGTTACATTGCTGGTGACAATGTAAAAGGGACAGCTAATCTGGAAAAGTTTAGCAGTTTTTAAAAAAGTTAAACATAGATTTACCATAAGTCCCAGCACTTCTAAGTATATACCCAAGAGAAATGAAAACATTCACACAAAGTCGTGCACACAAATGGTCATAACAGGAATATTCATAATAGCTAAGATTTGGAAACAACCCAAATGTCCATTAATTGATAAATGGAAAAGTAAAATATGGTATATCCATATAGTAGAATATTACTCAGTCCCAAAAAGAAATGGAATGCTGATAGATTCTAAAATAAAGGTAAATCTCCAAACCTGCAAGTAAAAGGAGCAAACAAAGAACCACATGATAGTTAYATTTTCTTGTAACATCTGGAATGTGGAGACAAAGCAGATTAGTGCTCTAGCTGGCTATAATAGATGATTGCAAGGTTTCTTTTTCAGGATGATGGAAATGATTTAAAATTGTGATGGTTATAAGACTCTTTAAACATATGAGWAATATGGCTGGGCATGGTGCCACACACCTGTTGTCCCAGTGGCTTGGGAGATTGAGGCAGGAGGATTGCAAGCTTAAAGACAGCCTCAGCAACTTGGCAAGGTCCTAAGCAACTTAGCAAGACCTATCTCAAAATAAATAAATAAATAAAAATAAAGTGCTGAGGATGTAGCTCAGTGGTTAAGTGCCACGGGGTTCAATCTGTGGTACAAAAGCAAACAAGCAAACAATCATATGAATAATAGTATTAATATGAACAGTATTAATATCTACTTAAGTGGGTAATTTTATTGTGAGTTATACCTCAGTAAAACATTTAAAGGTATGGATATAT